GGTAGAAATGGCTTTCTACCCGGAAAAGCTCACCCGAAGCGCTGGCGCCGCCATCTTTTTTGACGAAAAATTGCTTTTTTTACCAAAAAAAGATGGCGGCGCCCAGCAACCAGCGGCCCGGTAAGGCTTGTTCCGCGGCCCGGTACCGGTCCGCGGACCGGCGGTTGGGGACCCCTGATCTAGACAGTTTGATCCAGTGGTTAAGGCACCAGGCTAGAAACCAAGAGACTCTGAGTTTTGGTCCTACCTTAGGCATGAAAGTCAACTAGGTTTTCTTTGGGCCTGTCATGGTTTCTCTCAACCCACGACATCAGGCTTCAGTGACAGACCATTGGTCAATTCCTGTTGCAGCCAGTGAATTAACACTATAGGGAAAAAAAGCAGACCTTGCACTAACGAGAAAATGCTATAATGGCCAAAGTGACCCCCAGCGGTGGTAGGAGCTGGGATCATTGGAGCTGTGATTCCTAAGGTGGCAGAGTGGTTCTAACAGAGCCAAAGAACAACATCAGAAAACTCTGCCCAGAAGAGTCCAGTGCTAGCAGCAACTAAGATATTGCGCGGAACCCTCAAACTCCCAGCCTCTAGTCAGGGATCTGAGATTAAGGAAGATTCATAACCACCCATAAAGGAGAGAAGGAAGATTGCTGTCTGTCTCACTATGTATATCTAGCTATCAACTATCGATCATACTAAATCAGGGGTGCCAAACTCAAGGCCCGCAGGCCAGACCTGGCCCATGGGGTGCTTAGATCTGGCCCATGGGGCCAACCTGTAAAAACCAAAGGACTGACTCGTGGTGCCTCTGGCAGTGAACACAGAGTTCAGGAGGGCTACATGCAGCCTTCTCCAGCTCCCTTTTCACTGGCAGAAGATTGTAGGAGGCCATTGCAGCCGAAAATGGAGCTCAGGAGCCCGTTTTCTCTAGCAAAGCGCTCGGGCCACCACACAAGTGACATTGCGCTAGCCACACACCCCTGTCCCCCCTCCCCAAGGACAAAACAACCCTGATGCAGCCCTCAATGGAATCGGAGGCCGTAGGCTACTTGGTTTCAGCCATTTATGATTTTCCTAGGAAAATAATATTGCAGTGGTTTTCTATTGCCTTCTGCAGTGATTTATCTCAGCAAAAGGAAAAGAAAAACCACCAGGATCTTATGACAATGTAATATTTTTCTCTATTTCTCTATTAGTAATTGTGTTCAAATATATCCAATGGCCCCTCAGTTCAGCCAAGAGTATATTTAATATAGGAACAGACAAACTCTGCTTAACTTGCAAGCTTTCGAAAGAGATCAGCTGAGGTCTCTGAAAAACATTTTGTTCCTTCCTTGCTGCTTGTAATGGAAGAGAGGGAAAATAAGTTTAAAAATAATGACCTTGTCCACATGACATGAATGATCCAATTATTTATTCTCCAAGTTAAGTGATTAATCTTTGTGTGCTCAGTGCTCACAATCCTTAATTATTCAAATTGTGATTTAACAGCCTCTTTTTAGTCTTCTCAGCTGCCAAAAGGGAGCTAAGCAAATTGTCACTTTCCTCTCCCTATAATATTTTTTTCCTCTCTGGGGGTGATAAAATAGTACAGCTGGATTGGACAGTGCAGCTGATGAAGTAAAATCATATTCACAATCATTTCTGTCCCTTTTTCATTTTTTTGCCTGTAAAAGGCAAAAAAATAGGACCTCTAGGCTTCATCTCAATCATGGACATCAGAATTTTAAAGGGAAAGGGCACTCTCCTATATTTCAGATATTAGGAGAGTTACTTCTGTAATAAATACACATAACACTCATAAAGTTACTTGACAGGAAGGTTGATTTAGCTCCAAACAATGCCAACTCTGTATCAATTGACACAGGGATTTTTTTTAAAGTTTGCACCATTATCCAAACAGGGCGGTTGAGTCTCACCATCTATCTCTCTCTCTCCCCCCCCCTCTCCCCCCCCCCCCCCCCCCCTTCCCCCCCCCTCACACACACACACACACACACACACACACACAAAGATATATCTTGAAAAAATGCAACCCTCCCTGAGAAGAAGCTCACATACCCCTGATTTAACAAGCTTACTAGATGACGTACTTTTCATGGTGTGTTTCTCAATCTTACTACCATTAATATACATGGACTTCACCTTCCAGAATTCCCCCAGTCAGCATGCTGAGGTTAAGAAACACTGTTTTGCTCAATTAATTCATTTGTCTGAATTTCAGGATACATTGGGGAATATGTAGATTGGTTTTGGCTAATGGCACCCGCAAACAAAAATGTAACCAATTTTAAAACAAAATTCAGGCTAATGGAAACTTTGCTGCCTCACTTCTTCCCTTTTACATTGATAGACTTAGCATCCTAATTCTGTATAAAGCGGTCCCCAACCTTTCTGGCACAGGGTGGAAAGTCCATTTTTTTTCCAGGGTGGAGGGCAATAGTTTTGGTATCACTTGCTTGCCTGCTGCTTACCTCCATCTGGGCTGCCCCATCCCTAACAGGCCACAGACCGGTATCCAGATATAGCAGGGTTGGGGCCGTCTGCTATATAGCAAGATGAAGAACTTTTTTCTTGTGGGGGTCACATTCTATTGGGCTAGGTATCTGCTATGTTTATAGACAATGAATATAACACAGTGTTGCTGGACACAACCCCACCCTCCTTTTTTTCTTTTTCTTTTAGTTGACGTTACAAAATCCCATAAGAAAGCAGAGCTCTTTGCATGATTTGGTTATCATGAGTTTTCAGCCATTTTTACATTTGTCTTTATTTGCTTTAACTTGGGAAGTCTATCTGAGCTTTCTAACGGCTGTGGTAGGCATAGGGTACTTGTAGTCGCCTACTCATGCCAGTGACAATTCCCACTGGGGCTTAACCTAGTTGTGGGTAAGGTCAGAACCAATCGCTGGTGGGGTCATCCATCCTCCCTCCCTCTCTCTTCCCCTCTCCCACCCTGTCTTTTCCCCTCTCCTCACAACTAGATTCATGTCAGGCCCAAAACGAAGAACGACAGTTGGTCATTCTTTCAAGTAGAGTTCTTCATTATTTCACACCTGTAGACAAATTCTTGCCAGACTGAGCTCTCTGCACGTATCATATACTCTGTCAACTATTAGGGAGGGGCGGCATTCACCCTCTTTCTCTCACACAGTCTTCGGAGTGAATTGCCTCTTATTCCTCGGTAATGCACTCCCTCCTCCTGAGAATCCACCTCCTTGCTGTGTTCCATTACATCTCCTCTAGCCAGGTATCTGCCCTGCTTACCCACCAAAGGTTTCACAACTGAAAAACTGCACATGTCTCCAAATGTACACAAACGAGGAGGGAAATTCAGCCTTTGAAAGATGTTGTGGGAGGAAGGACATATATGTCTATCGAATTGATACTACTACTTTTTGATGCTAAGGAAAAGAAACCTCCCTTCAAATATAAGGGGCAGGGGTCTTGTCCCTGTGATGCAATTTCTCCCATTCCCCCACAGGTGAGCATTTCAAATATGAATTTGGCGAAAAAGAATTACTGATGAAACTCTTTCAAGAACTGCATGTCAAGACTCAGTCACCACCTCCAGCTCTCCATACTTCTTCTTCTTGTACCCAGTATCTGTGTGGAGATGCCACTGCCTCATCTTTCCTGCCCCTCCACAAGCCAGGCCCTCCTGTAGGAGGAAGCACATTTCCCCTGCTTGAAGGGACACAAAATGTGGTGGCTTTGAGCCAGGCTGAAAGCCACTACTGGACTTTTTTTGGCTTCCAGGGGGATGCCTATGGACGCATCCTCGACAAGAGCAAGATCATCTGTAAGGTTTGTGGAGTCCAGCTGAGCTACAGCGGAAACACCATCAGCTTACGTCAACATCTCATCTGCAAGCATCGCCGTGAGTACATCGAGGTTCTTAAGGTGGCCAACCGCAACAAAGGAATAGCTGGTACAGGCGAGTTTGGAACTCCCCAGCCTCCAGTCCCTAGCCAAACGACACAGGCAGTCGCTGACTTTATCGTGTTGGACCTGATGCCAATGGAGGTGGTAGAAGGTGAGGGATTTGGGAAGATGTTAGCGGTCCTGGACCCCAACTACAAATCTCCTGAAGCTGCTGCCCTCGCCCACACAGTGTTGAAGGACATGTATACCCAGGTGAAAGGGAAAATCTGGGAACTGGTCCGGGCCCTGCCCCAGTGTTCCCTTAGCCTGGATATATGGTGCCACAGCAGCACTCTGACCTACCTCACACTCACTGTGCATTATGTGGATGACTGCTTTGAACCCCAGGCCAGGGTCCTCTCAAGCCGCCCTATTCCTGAGAACCCCAGCACTGAAAGCCTGGTGGAGTCTCTGACTGAGGCCACCAAAGAATGGGGAGTACACGAGAGCACTTTGTACACTATGGGAGGCATTGGCCCTGTCTTCCAGCAAGCAGCTGCAGCCCTGGGGTGGACAGCCCTGCCTTGCATTGGGCAGGTCTTGCGAGCAGCGATGGAAGCAGTGCTGAGCCAGCCGGTGGCCCAGAGTGCCCTGGAGAGCCTCCGTCACTTGGCTTCTTGGGCACTGACCGGGACAGGTCGCAATGAAAAACTATGGTTCCAGGAGCCCCTCCTGCAAACCCACCTCAGTCGCTTCCTGAGAGATGGGAGCAGATGGCACAGTGTCTACACAATCCTACAGGATTTACTAGAGTATAGCAAGTCTCTGTCAGGGCTCGGTCCTGATGGGGAGGCATTCCTGCACCCGCAGGACTGGGCTGCCCTTAAGGACACAGTCCAAGTTCTCAAGCCCATGGCAATTGCTACCTCAACATTTACCAAACATCCCTTTTCCAGTCTTGCCCTAGTCAAGCCTGTGTTAACTAGCCTCCTCTACAAGCACTTGGTAGCCAGTGAATGTGACTCTGCCCTTGTCCTTGAAGCCAAAGAAGCAGCTCAAAAAGAACTTAACCACCATTTCTCCAGGCCTGAAGTTAACCAGGTCCTCAATCTGGCATGCGCTCTGGACCCCCGCTTTCATTGCCTGGACTTCTTGAGCCATTCTGATCGGGTGGAAACTTTGCGCTTGCTCAAGACCGAAGTGTCCCACTTGGCCTCTGCCTCTGCCTTCTTAACCTCCAGCGTGCCTGATGCGGCTTCCTCATTGCCTCCTTCCAAGCTGCCAAAGCAAGATGCAGGCATTGAATTCCTGCTGGGAGATCTCTGCAGCACGCGTGGTGGCCCAGGCATCAGCTCTGCCCATCAGCAAGCCGAGCGGGAGATAGCGAGCTTCCAAATCAACAAGGCATCTGCCCTCACTCAGGAACCCCTGCAGTGGTGGAAGATCCACCACACCCAGTACCCATTACTGGCTCAGGCAGCCCGCAAGCTCCTAGGAGTGCCTGCCACCTCAGTGCCTGCTGGCTGGCTCTTCAGCAGCACTGGAGATGCCATCCACACTAAGCGCCAAGCCCTGACACCAGAGCATGTCGATATGCTTGTATTCCTCCATGGCAACCATGCGATGCTCTGTTAGAGTACACAAAGAAAGCAGGCTTGGGTGGCATCTGTCTGCAGGATCCTAGAGCATTCCACCACAAAAGGCTGAAATGAGAGAAAAGTTCCCATGTGCCCTGTATCTACTTTCCTCTGTGGGCTGGCCAAAAGGACCAGAGGGCAATTACTGTCTGTCTGTTTTGGAGAAGGGAATAAAACAAATCACTTGGGTGTTGGGAGGGGGAAGGAGAGTCTATGAGCCAAACTAGGGTAGATGAAGATCTAAAGACTAGCTAGAAAGCAAGAAATATGATTTCCTGCTTCCTAGCTAATCTAAATCTCCCATAGCAATTTAGCAGGCAAGTTTGCCACTTAGGAGTGAGTGGGCGGGGCGGCTTCCTGTGGTCCATGTGGGCTGCGCAGCCTTGTTTCTGTGAATTCTGTGAATTTATTGCTTTGTGGGGGGTTGCTCTGGGGGTGAGATTTCTCTGCGGCCCACCAGTTGGCGACCGCTGTTCTACACAGTAGACCTCGCCTCTCAGAAAAGAGATATCACAAAGGGCGGGAACCAACCACGTATGGGTCAGAAGGAGAGATCATTTGAGGACAGAAATGATGTATTAAGAGTAAGTGGGGACATAAAAAGAGAAATAGGAGTGGATTAGTCCATGCCTACCATAGGGAGATAGATTTGTAACAGGGAAAAGAAATGGGAGTGGGTAAATAAACTGGTGTAGGAAGCTGAAAATAATGACAGCACTGGTTCAGGGAAACACAAGGTGGGCATGGAATAGTTTGGATTGTAATTCAGACACACACCAAGCAGGCATGTGGTAGGTGTCAAGGTGTTTTTGCTTTGCAAGGAGCCCTGGTATACCTAAACAAAAGGTACATTAACTTATGGAATGATGATGGACAACATAATTGATGGATGACTTCCCTGTACTGAGATATATTGCTTGCACTATGGATTCTGTGAATATATGCAGCATTCCTCTTTCCTCATCTATCCCCCAAAATCAAGATACAGAACCAAAAGAAGAAAGAATGATAGAAAAGTACTGTGATTCCTCTTGGCCTTCCTTCTATTTGGAGGGTGTGTGGTTGACCTTTAAGCCAAAGAAAGTATTAACCATTTCTCTAATTTATTTATACCCCACCTTTATTATTTTTTACAAATAATTCAGGGTGGCAAATACGTCCAACTTCCTATTTTCCCTACCACAATAAGAACCCTGTGAGATAAGTTGGGCTGTGAGAGTAACTGTCCCATTGTCCCGAGGTCACCCAGCTGTCTTTCATGGCTCAGATGGGACTAGAACTCGCAGTGTCCCTTAGCTTGGTGTCTTAACCACTAGACTGTTCATTGCCTCTTGGTCATGCTTTTCCCCATGCAATGCATTCCTCATTCTCTCCTATATCATACCCCCTCCTGTTTGAACACATTAAAAAGTTCAGGAAAGAGGAACAGCCGAAGACAGGTTTATACAGACAGGATCCTTCCTCCTCTCCACTGTAAAACAAAATTTCAATTTGGGTGGGTGTTAAGTCAAATTAATTAAAGAGCAACAAGAAAATAAGAGACGTTTTATTCTTTAAAAAGATGGTGCTTGTACTAGGATGGGGGGGGGGGGGACTGAAGAAATTTTCTCCAGATTGTAATAGGAGTGGTGATTCTTTAGGGCACCAACACCCAAGGATGCAGTACAGTTAAAAACTATAGAAAACATCCCCCTCTGACCTTGTTTGATGTGAATAAGACATTACCCTCTGACTTTATAATCCAGTTCTGTTGGCTTTAGTTGCTGCTCTCATCCAACATTTCTTCAAATTGGCTAGGAATAATAGAAGTTATGGAGCTGCCTCTTAGCAGCTTAGGTTCCAAAAATAGCCTGTCTGCAGATCACATCTGGTGTATTGTTCATGGCTATCTCTTTATAAATCAGGAGTTAATAGCCATTTTTTTTTATTAGTGCCAAAAGGGAAGTTAAGCTTTCCTATAGAAGCTAATGCTACAAGGGAGTTGATGCTTAAGCCAGGACAAATACTATTCCTAAAGCTGCAGGGGTGGTATACAACAAGGCTTTTTACAAGTTGCTGAATGGCATCTCTTAGTGTGTCCCATTATTGCCCTACTCCTGCTGGAAGTTGCAGTTGGTAGCATCTGGTGGGTGATATGAGGCTCACCAGCTGTTGGACATCTTCCTTCATATGACCCTGACTTGATACAGCTAATAGAATATGGTTCTCAGCAGGTGACAGTGCCTAACCAACCTTGGCTGATTTAGAAAGCTGTACTTAATACTCGGGGGTGTCATCTAGAAAGTCAAGGGCTGTTGAATGACAGGAACTTTGAAAAAATATCCCAGTAGAAGACAGCAGCAAACCATTGGGGTGGAATAGGAATGGCCAACGTCAGTTACATTAATGCATCCAAGTAAGTCATCAAGTGTTCAACCCCAACACAATTTTGCTTTTACTCCTGGGGTATTGTATTAAATACCTAGAAACAAGTTATCTGTTACTCATCCTACTTTCAGAAAGCTGAAATGGATGCAGCTTTTCCAAAAGGGCTTAGGAGCTGCATGCAGTCCTGTACTGTCAAATGACCCATCCAAATCATACAGTATGGAGACCTTTTTCATCCCCATTGCAGTTACAAGTGCAGGACTGTAGGAAAGAAGCTCTCCAAAGACACAAGGTCATTTTCTTCCAATGCTAATACTAAGTGCCTGGATCAGTTAACTCGGGTAAGGACAAAGGGCTAAAACTTCACAAGACAATGATCCCAACTTAGTTTGAGTTCCACCGTCCCTGAAGAGGTCCAATGAGGAATGGACTCTGTTATCTCAATGTTATCAATGAACACAGTATTGTAAAAAGAGGATTTTTCAGTACAGATGTGAACTCAAGGCTTTTTTCCTGGCTTTGGCATGTAACAAATACTGATTTCCAACTCAATTGTTACTGCAGATTTACTATGCACTAAAGAAGAAGCAAGAGGCACTTTATCTTTTCCTTTTACTTAGGGCTAAATAAGTGATTCCCCATCACCACCATCAGCAGGAGCCCAGCATTCAAAAAAAAAGTATCTTTCATGGCCTGCAGGGTGTGTGCCAGTGATTCAGGAATGTCACCAAAAAAGGAGGGGCTCGAAGTGTCTTTTTTAGTTTTTTTTCAAGAGACTTCCAAAGCAAAACACGGGTTAACCCTTTTAGACATTGAACATGTTACCTACTTTAATAAAAGAATCCAATATGATAATAATCCCATTTTCCCTGCACTCTAGGGTACAGCTGATTTCTGTGTGAAATGCTTGTCTGTTTGGGACTGAAACTTGCCTAGTGCAGCAAAATTCATCCTGACAAAAATACCAGGAAGCCGCCATTCCTTATATTTGAAGAGTATTAGACGGGGGGTATGGCAGGTGAAGAAGCAAATAAAATTGGAGAGGGATGGAATGTCCAGAACTTTTAGCTATCACTGCACCCATTAGGCTAGTAGTGAAAGGGCACCAATGCAACCAAACCCACCAGGAACTGAGCATTGAAAAAGGATACAACATTAGAGGCGATATTCACAGATATAATACATGCGCCTTTCACAATCATTGTCCCACCATTTCCCATCATCCGAGCTGAGGGAGACACAATTCTCACGGGTACCACCATTGGGTTGAGTCACCAGATGGTCTCGGTACCAATCAAAGACGGAGACGCGTTGGCCGTTCTCAAAAAGCCACAACCCTTCAGAACGCCGGTCATGGATGCCCACCCAGGATGGCCAGTTGTAGGGCTGAAAAGCATCATAAAGATAGCGGCGCAGGACAGTCAGCTCAGTATCATCTGCTGGCATGGCCAATTGCCCTCCTCTGGCTTCACAAAGTTTTTGGGCTACGTCGTAGGTCTCAAAGTGCTTGAAGATCAGGAAGCATTTAGTTTGTGTGCGCCGGCCCCTCAAGCAACCTGGGTTGGGCAAAGATAGTGATTAGTATTGGTAGCAATAGCACTTAGACTTACATACTTTTCATAGTACTTTGCAGCACTCTCTAATGGGCTTATGGAATCAGCATATTGCCCCCAATAATCTGGGTCCTCATTTTACTGACATCAGAAGGATGAAAGCATAGCCCTAAGTCAACTTTGACCCAATCAGGATCAAACTGGTAGTGGGCAGAGTTAACCTGCAATACTACAGTGTAACCACTGTACCACCATGGCTCTTAGTGGTTTTGTATGCCATCACTAGCTACAGAATGCCTGGAGGTATATAGAATGCAAAGGGCCAGATCCCTGCCCTATGAATTTTATAAAAGTTTGTGAAAAATGTATAAGCAATGATTAATTTATTTGATAGATTTATTTCTTCATAAGGCTTTCTTTTTATTCACACAGAAGCCTGTGAAATAGGTTGGGCAAAGAGGATGACAGACCCCAAGTGACTTTCTGTGGCTGAACCTGTTTTTCCACAATCAATTTTAGTCCAATATTTCACAATTGCATCACAGTACAGTGACATAACAGCAGGGGAATGACCTTGAAAACAGGATTCTTTCTCTTAGTTCTCTCAACTCAACTCATGGCTTATTTCAGCCAATCTTTGGAATAACCTTTCCTTTGATCTTTTTGTCTCAGCAGATAGCAGAGATCATTAAGCCCTGAGCAGTATGTTACGATGTGACTCTTTCAAGTAGGATGTCTGCTTTATGAAAAATAAAATGATGAGCTTTCCCTTTTGGAGGGATTTGGCAACTGAAAACAGCTCTCAGGGTGATCTCCAATTTCCAAAGATTCTGGACAGTCTCCTCTATTCATTGAAGGTTGGAGATCAAAGACATTTATGCTTCTGGAGATTTTCGCTCAGCTTGACCATCTTTGTTGTTGCTGGGATTAATTTCATGGAAACCGCTAGTGCAATTTTCCTCCATCCTGGGCTTTTAAGTGTTGGGTTGTAATTCAGATCCTATAGAACAGTGTTTCTCAGCAACTTCACAATGAGTGAACCTCAACTCCCAGAATTCCCCAGCCAAGATGCTGGCTAGAATTATGGGAATTGAAATTCACACTTCTTAAAATTGCTTAAATTCAAAAACATTGCTATAGAATGATGGGGGAGCAAGACTGATTCTACTCCCCCTTTCCATCCTCACCATCAATGCGTCCAAGTTCTTTCTGATTGTGTGTGGCAACTTCATTAAGAGAGGCCAGTGACTCACTAGTCTGAGCCAGGCCCCCCTTCAATTCAGCCAGATCTTGGGAGAACTGTGACACTCGCACATCCATGTGATAGAATTGCACGTTGAGACGGTGGACCGCTGCCTCGAGACTGTTCAGTCGTGATACTGTTTGTGCATCGAGGAAAGGAGGGAAAAGGGAAGAAAGCAATTATCACTTTTAAGGATTTGAAAACCAGGAGGTATTAGAGTCATCTTACCTAGGGAAGAGAATACATCAGGAGTGAATCAGAATACAGAAATAAGGGAGAGGGACACTAAAGAAAAATGGGCAATAGGAAGAAAGATTAATGAATTTTAGGATCAGATGAGAAATGTTTATGCACTGGATTAAGTCCCAGGCCATGTCCACTTTTCCAGTTCTTTAACAGCCAAATAGATATTTATTAAGGGGAGGGAAAATCACTCTCTGAAACCAACCAAATAATTTTGTTGTACTGTTGGTAATCTATTTTCCCAGATAACATTGGAAAAAGAATGGTTATTCAATAGAATTAGATAAATGGCAGAAATTGTGGGATAAAAATTGTAAGGTAACAATGTCAATGGCCTATAAGGAAAATTTATACAAAATGTTTTACAGGTGGAATTTACTACCAGAGAGGTTGGCAAAGATGTTTGAAAATCTTATCAACTAAATGTTGGAAGTGTAGCAAGATGCCAGATTCATATTATCATATGCAGTGGACATGTCCAAAGGCCAATACTTAGTCCAAAAATATTGGACTAAAATACATACTTGGTTAGAAAAAAATGATAAAATAACATATAGATTTTGAAATCAGATTTTTTTTTTTGCTGGGTATACTACCAGAACAGTGTAATAAAGGGAATACATACCTAATTTTGCATGTAGTAACGGCAGCAAGAATGTGTTTGCACAACAATGGAAAAATGATGAGGTCCCGACATGAAAGTGTAATTGAAAAAATATTAGAATGTGCTGAAATGGATAGATGGACAAGATAAAAGGAAGAAACAATATTTTTTAACATGGGATTTATTTTACCAATGATTAACTAACAAAAACAGAGGTTAGAAACGAAACAGAATCTAAAAAGATTATAAAAATTGGTATTGGAAATTTTGCAAGATGGATAAACTAATAGTATTATGTTGTGATATGTTTATTAAGATTATTACGATGGCTTTGGTTATTGTTGTATCTTTACTTAAAATTAATTGTGCCCAGACTATATGCTGTTCAGATGGACATGGAATTTTTTATGTTCTTTAAAAGGAAAATGTATCAATAAAACATATACTCATGATATTTTTTTAAAGAAAAAAGAGTGTCTATAAAGTGTCTACAATCACCAGCACTAATAAAGCTAAATGATCTTTAAGGAAGCTTTGGACAGCATGATTGAAATTTCTACAAAAATCATATACATAATCAGAAAACGATGAAACCCAATTGCAGTGCAACATATAATACTAAACCTCAGGTTCCAGTAACCTTTAACTGGGTGAAAAGGTGCATCATAGGTCAAAATATTTTGAACCAAAGTAGTGCAAATGGACTAATTTTCAGAATGCATCTAAAGTTTAAGATGCAAGACTCCTATAAAATTGAAATTTGGCAAATTTTATGAAACATTTTATGACATAAAATTATCATAAAGACATAGTAGAAAATATGATAAAACATTTGATGCTTGACTATGCTACACAATTCAACATCTGTTACTTTCAAGGCAGATACATCTTCAAATGTCTCTCTGGTTTTTAAAGAATTTTTCTAGTCCATTGTTGAAGGCATTGAGGAATCTGATAAAAACATATCTCTGAAACTATGGGTCAAGGGGTCACGGGTTGTCTAATACAGCATAAACAGGGGGAGGACATAATAAGAGAAAGTGGCATAAGGACAGCTAGTTACAGGGACTACATTAGCAACTCTTGAATAATTTCAGGCATGTGAATTAACATTTTAGCCTTCCTTCATATAACAATTTAGGCCTCCATTGTAAAATCATTACATGACAAGATTATCAAGTTACAGGTATCCCAGACACATCCATCTAGTTCTTTTGGCAATGATGCCAGAGCAGGTATTGCCTTCTTCCAGGATTCAGGTAGGCCTTGACTTACAACTGTATTTGAGCCTAGAACTATAGTGGTAAGTCATTGAAGTCATAAGATGAAGTATTCATGTGATCAGAAGTGATTCTCTGGTTCTTTATAACTTTTAAAACTCTGTAGTGTTATTAGTGAATACTACAGTTGTTAAGTGAACTTCATGGTCATTAAATGAATGCCATTGTCATTGAGTGACTCAATTCATTTGAAAACCAGAAACTGGCAAAACCTGTTGCAAATTGGAGTAATGTGACCATGGAATACTGCAACCAGTCATAAAGCTGACCTGCCAGATGTCATGTGGCCACAGAGAGGGCAGCACAACCATTTATGATGACTGGGGTGCTTTACAGATTATAAAGTACCCATTTGTGGTCATTGTAACTTTGGTCATAATTGATAATTAAGCAAGGCCCACCGGTATCTTTTTGACTAATTTATTTCTGATGATCCCTCATCCAAATTATAATTGTATCCCTGTTTAACTTTTTAGAGAGCCAGCTAAGTGCTGCCATGTAGCCGGACCAACTCCTTATGTATAAAAAAAATTGCCACTTCACTTACCCCATGATATATTTGTGACCCAATGTGGATGGGAACCTACCCAGAAGTTCCTGTCCTACATTTGTGCAATTTAATGACAAAAGTGTGAGTCTTAGCTCAAAAATTATGGCATATCCTGATTCATAATCCTACATAAATTATATGTGAAAATTGTCTGTACTAATTTGACAGAAATTTTAACAGAAATTGGTCTACTGTTAAGAAAGTGAGGTCCATTTCCCACATAACCAGTGAAATATGCCTTAACTGAGCTATAGATTGTGCTGTGGTCAAATTGTCATTACAGATAGCCCAATTCCAGTTGAGCAGGCAGGCCAGGAAGGTCCATTGGCTAACAAAGGATCCTATCTGATACTTGTATCTATATATACCTCGTTGTGCAATAGGCGAGAAAGAGAAGGCAGTTATAGGACATCCAAGATATGTGAGAGTTCTAGATGCCATGGGGATTTTATCTTGAATATATTGGATAGTTAACAGGAATATAAAAAAAGAGGGGTAGTTGAATACCAAGAGCAGGAGTAAGAGGAGGGGAAAGTCAGTAAAAAAAATGTTCATCCAAATCAGATCCTTCCCTTTGTTCTCTGAGGAAAGGATTGCATTCTCTCTCCAGGGTCAATAATTGACTCCCTCCCCACAGCGTTTCATGTTTTTATAAATGTGCATATTAGATGCAGGATGCCTTTAGTGTCAGAAAATGATTAACCTTTAACTTAAGGAAGGAATAAAGAGCTACAGGGTGTTATCCTTGAATCTTTCCATCTCCTCAACATACATAAATCTAAAATGTGAAAGGTTCCATTCTCAGACAATTTCGTTAAAATGCTTCACTAACTATTGTAATTGGCTTGAAATCAAATCAGGATTAGGACAGATGCAGCACTGGCACCCTAAGTAGCTTAATTTACCAGTTGCTTTTGCAGGAACCTACAGCATGCAGATGAGCTCCCTAGCTATGGGCAGCCCTCAGATTACAGGAGAAAGTCACTACCTCCTCACTTTTTGAACTACACATTTTAAACAAGAATAAGAGGGGTAAAATATATCTGGAATCACAAAGTGGGCTTGCTTGCCAATTTCATTAAGAAGTTCCTTTTTCTCCCCGTAACTTGAGCACTAGTGCAAAATGCAGGGCAACCCAATTCCATGTTTTTTTCTTTCCTTAACTGCATGATTAGGTTGCTATAAGGAATAATGTCTGTGTATTTCCCAGTAGTGCACAAACATAATAAAGGAGCCATTGTTTTTTTTAAAAAATGAGACAGTTGAGGGAGTAGGGAAGACTGAGAGTCTCCAACTTAGACCATTTGTTTAAGGACCATTCAAAGTTACAATGGCGGAAGAAGAAAAATGACCACTGGTCCTCACATTTATGACCATCACAGCATCCCCATGGTGATGGGATCAAAATTTAAGCACTTGGCAACTGGCTTGTATTTGCAATGATTACTGCTTCCGAGGATCATTTGATCTTGCCCTTCGTGATCTTCCCAACCTATTTCCAACAAGCAAAGTCATTGGGATGAGCCAGATTCACTTAATGACCATATGATTCGCTTAATAACTGAAGGAATTTACTTATCAACCATGGCAAAAATAAAGTTTGTAAAATTAGGCATGACTCACTTTAACAACTGCCTTGCTTAGCAATGAAAATTCTGGTCCCAGTTGTGGTTTTAAGTCAGCAACTTACATACCCCAAATCATACCCCATAGACAATTTATTCTATAAACTGTGGGGTCCTTAGTACTCTCTGAGCTTCTTTGTTTTCTTGAAGGCATTTCATTACCAAACTAGGTAACACCATCAGTGTTAGCATGGAGTGAGTTTACTTTCATTTTATATACTAGTGGCTTGTTCTGTCAGTATTTGTGGAAGTGGTCTTGGCAGTTCCTTGATTAGATTGTTGTTTACTGTTAGCTTGTTTGAGTGTTTATTCTGTAAACTACTATACATTAAATGTTCAAATTGGTTGCATTTTTAAAAAAAACTTAAATATTTGATGCACAGTCTTTGAATATTTCAAAGTATGGTAATCTTTTCCCTATTTTTTTAAATAATAAAACATATTTTGATTGGCTTATGTCTTGACTTCTGTTACACCCTGTATATTTAGATTAGGGTTGGAATATTATTGGAATTTAGATTAGGGTTGGATTATTGCAATTAAGTCTCATCTTTCACCATGAAAGGTTTGAGCAGTATAATAGCAAAGAAAGTGATTAATCAGATGAACTATCCCTGCACTTATTCACATATATTTATATAGAAATATACTACACACACACACACACACACACACACACACACACATACACACACACACACATTTATGCTTGGTTTAAGCCTCACAACACACTGAGTCCTGAAGATGTACATTTGGGGATAAAGATCCAGGATCCACTCATAATTACTAGACACTCTTAAATTGATAAACTAAATAAGAGCAAGATAAAACCCA